TTTTCCTCAGCAATGTTTTCTATTTTTCAGTCTTTCACATGTTTGTCAGATTCATCCTTAAGTAGTTCATATTTTTTTGATACTATATTAATGGTCTTATTATCTTTGTAAGTTTTTTTTTATCCTTACCTGAGGATATGTTTTTTATTAATTTTAGAGAGGAAGGAATGGAGAGAGAAACATTGATCAGTTGCCTCCCATATGCATCCCGACTAGGGATCGAACACAGCCAAGGTATGTGCCCGGACTGGGAATTGAACCTGAAACCTTTTGTTGTATGGGCAATGCTCCAAACAACTGAGCCACTCGACCAGGGTTTTAATGGTATTATTTTTTAATTTTTTAATTTCAATTTTGTTGTTAACATACAGATATGATTGATTTTTTGTGTTGACCTCGGATCCTGTGGTGGCGGGGGGCCTTTAAGATGCCTTGCAGCTTTTGGCTTCGGCCTTCGGAACTTGCCCTGATACCATCATCTGGATACACTAAGATCTGGATTGAAAAACACGGAAAGGAAAGAGCCCAACTGGAAAATAACAAATGGCTGTATGTTAAGCCACTACACTTTCGGATGGTTTGTTATACAGCAATAGCTAACTGATACAAGAGTTTAGGCGGAGTCACAGTAAAGAAAATAGAGTTTAGTAATTCTCATAGAGACAAAATTACAAACAGAAACAGCCAATAAGAAGTCAGGATACAAGTCGGGCATTTAGCTAGAATCAAAGAAGCAAGGTGGGTTCAATGATGCAGGCAGGCAGAAGACTAGGCCGCAGTTACTTGTAAGGGAATTCACTGCACTGAAGCCAACGGGGCTTTGGCCTGGGTGCAGTTAGAACACTCTGGCTAGTTTTAATTCAGAGCAGCTCGAGCCTTCTTGGACTTAAAAGGCCAGGGAGTGTTCATCAGAGCTATTTCCTCTTTGTCAGAGGTTCTGGTCCACTGGGGATCATCTCAGTGTAAGGATAACCTTAGGGCCGCACATAGAGATGGATGTCTCCCAGGGGTTTGGGATTCTTATCTGAATATAGGCTTCCCCACTCAGGACCTTCGGGGCTTCTGCTTCAGTTTTCTTCTACCAGGACAGTCTGCTGCAACTGTCAAGTGGTTCTTTGTCAGTTGTTACATTTTCTACACGTAGGAGTTGGGAATCTTCTTGCCCTGGGCTGGACATGGGGACTTCACCATCTGGGACTGCAGCCCTGACGGGTCCAGAGGCCTGGCATTGTGGCTGCTCCCCCGCAGGCAGGGAGGTTCTCCTCTCAGGCCACGGTGCTAGGGGTCCCATGGGCGCCACCGCCTCTCTCCCTTCCAGGTCCTGCTGCTTGGGTGTCTCGGCTCTTCCGTCCCCTACCCCGCCCCTGCCACTCAAGGCCTACTATCACTTGTGATGAGAACATTTAAGATCTATTCTCTACATAGTATTGTTTTTTTTTAATATATTTTATTGAATTTTTACAGAGAGGAAGGGAGAGAAAATAGAGAGTTAGAAACATCGATGAGAGAGAAACATCGATCAGCTGCCTCCTGCACATCTCCTACTGGGGATGTGCCTGCAACCCAGGTACATGCCCTTGACCGGAATCGAACCTGGGACCTTTCAGTCCGCAGGCCGATGCTCTATCCACTGAGCCAAACCGGTTTTGGCCATAGTATTGTTAATTAGAGCCACCATGATATACATTACATCCCCAGGACTAATTATTTTATAACTGGGAGTTTGTAAGTTTGTACCTTTTGACTCTCTTCACTCATTTTGCCCACTCCTCACCCCCCTCCCCAAACCCCACCTCTGGAAACAGCCTGTTCTCTGTGTCTATGAGTTCATGTGTGTTTTTTTAAATTGTTTTTAGATTCCACAAATAAGTGAGCTCATATAATATTTGTTTTTCTCTGTGTGACTTATTTCACTTAGCATAATACCCTCCAGGTCCATTCATGCTCTCTTAAATCGTAGGATTTCATTCTTTTTTATAGCCAAGTAATATTCCATTGCATCTATGTACTACTTTCTTTTATCCATTCATCTACACTAATAAAAGAGAAACATGTAAATTGGTGTCACTCCGCTACGCCCACCAGCCAATCAGGATGAGTATGCAAATTAACCCAACAAAGCTGGTCGTTAATTTGCATATGCAGGTGCGGAGCGAAGACTGAAGACGACTGAAGAGGCTTGGCTTCTCTGCTGCAGCCAGAGCAGAGAAGCCAAGACTCGCTGCTGCGGCCGGACCAAAGGCCTGGGTCCCGGGTGCTGGAGGAAAGCCGGTGCCGGCAGCCAGGGGAAGGAAGGCCTATTGCGGGAATCTTCGTGCCACGTGCCTCTAGTCTATTAATAAACACCTAGGCTGCTTCCATATCTTGGCTACTATAAGTAATACTGCATCAAACATAGGGGTGCATAGATCTGTTTGGATTTCCCTGGATAAATACCCAGAAGTGGAATTGCTGGGTCATAAGGTAGTTGCACTTCTAATTTCTTAAGGAACCTCCACACTGTTTCCTGCAGCGGCTGCACCAATGTACATTCCCATCAGCAGTGCAGGAGGGTCTTTTTCCTCCACACCCTCGCCAGCACAGGTGGTTTGCCAATTTGTTGATGATTGCAGTTCTGAGGGGTGTGAGGAGATACCTCGTTATGGTTTTGATTTGCATTTCCCTGGTGGTCAGTGATGGTGAGCACATTTTCATGTGTCTGTTGGCCATTTGGATGTCTTTCTTGGAAAAATGTCTATTCAGGTCCTCTGCCCAGTTTTAATTGGGTTGTTTCTTTTGAATTTTTAAAAACAATGTACATGTATTACTTTCATAATATTATTAGAAATTAGTATAAATATGAAAAAGTAACGGGTTAGTTAGCCCTATAGAAGACTGAATGGACACCATACAGGGGAAAGGGGAGAAAGGATATATGTTTTCAACTTTTGACGAATAGTCAAGTTATTCTTCAATGAAGTTGTACTAACTCACTACTACCAACAATACGTGAGCAGCATGAGTGGGTTCTAAGACTTGCAGCTTGAGAAATTTGGGGCTAATCACTTAAATAACATACGCCCATCATAAACTGTTCATTTCTAACGTCAGCCCAGCAATGGCATTTAAAATTGTAAGGTAGCATTTGGCTGCATCTAGAAGGAAATCTAACCACAGCAGGTTGTAAAGTACGGGCTCATTTTCCTCACCAGACAGAGGAGGCAGACTGAAGGCACGTAAGGCAGGGCAGTGTGGTAGGAGGTGGTGAGATCGGGGCTAACATTGCCCACCCCTTACCTCTCAGTGCAAGCAGCCTCTCCAGACCTCCCTGCCTGGGTCAGATCCCTCATCAAACTCTCTCGACCTACCTTGTGTCTCTCTGCACAATTCTCGGTTTCTCTGTTGTCTCCCTAAACATTCTTAATCTGGTTTTGCTCATTTTTGTGTCCTCAGCATCGAGCGCAATGCCTGCCCAGCATAAGGGCTGTGGCTCCACATATACTTCATCAACACATGCAGGAAGGCAATGCATGACTGACTGAACGATGAGTGAATGAATGAATGATTGAATGATCAAGCTAAACAAAACCCGCACTTCTCCTGCCCAGGAATCAGCTTTCTCCAGGGGTGGGGGTGGTATGGGGAGGCAGGGACAGGCAGTGATGTCACAAAAGGCGGCTGGGACAGAAGGTTCTGGGAGGGCTGGCAGGGAGGGAAACTGCCTACCTTCCCGCCTCTCGTCACCACCACATCCTGGCTGGACCCAGAAGTGACGAGGGCTGGGAAGGCGCAGCGCAGGTAAGGTTTCCAGGGGGAGCAACCTGTTGGTCACTTTTGTGGAAGAAGAAAACACCCGAGTGTCCAGATGGCTCAGCGACCAATGCCTTGCTGTGATGGCCTGACCCACACCTCGTGAAGAGTGGCAGGTGCCAGTGGTATGGGAGACGGGCACGTGGGCGTCCTTTGGGATTCAGCGTCTGACTGTCGTTCAGGAGCATATTTCACTAGGATGTGGTCTCACCACAGTCGCACGTTTTGGCTTTGAGCCAAAGATACTGACCCTCAGCATCTTAAAAAAAATTTTTTTTTATTTTAGAGAGAGGAAGGGAGAGAGAGAGAGAGAGAGAGAGAGAGAGAGAGAGAGAGAGAGAGAAGAGAGACAATGATTGGTTGTCTCCAGTGTGGATTCCAACTGGGAATTGAACCTGCAATCTAGGTATGTGCTTTGACGAGGAGTCAAACCCGGCGCAACCTTTTTGGTGCACGGGATGACGCTCCAATCAACTGAGCCACTGGGCCAGGGCGTGATGAAGACTTTTTAACAACTCGTACAGAACTAGTATATGAACACAGCTCAAGTCTATAAAGAAAATGGGGAGTTCTTTGCTAATAAATTATTTTCTTTTTACATTTTATCTTTAGTCATACCTGAAAACCCAGCCAATTAGCTACAGAAGGTTTTTAAATGGCCCATTTTAAGACGTATAGTATACTTTTCCCACATGCAGTAGAGTCCAAGACAGGTCTATGAGGTTTGACAAATCCATAGAGTCGTGTAACCACCGACACAGGCAGATATGGTACATTTCTATCGCCCCCAAATTCCCTCATGTTTCCCCTTTGTAGTCAACCCCTCTTCCGGCCACAGCCCCTGGCAACCTCGGGCTGTTCTCTGTCACTTTAGTTTTGCCTTTTCCCGAAAGTGACATAAATGAAATCATAGAGCGTGTGAATCTGTCTTCTCCCACTCAGTGTGATGCCTTGGAGACCCACGCCCATGGCCGTATCAATAGTTCATGCCTCTGTGCTGCTGCGTCCATTGCAGGGAGGCGGAGGGGAGCTGGTTTCCCTCAGGAGACTTCAAAATGTTTTCTTACAAGATCACACAGAGACCTGACCCCTGTGTTCCAGCCTCTAGGAGACTTCTGGAAACTCACAGATGGAATGCCCTCTGGACTTCACAGCTGCTCTCTGATCCCACACCCGTGCCACTCTCCTCTCCTCCCAGGCCCAGAGCAGTCATGACTGACCACCCCCGGTTCCAGGCAGACCCGGCCGGCGGGTGGGAGTTGGGCTGGGCCCTGCAGGGCCTTTGCTCGTCCTGCTAAGTTCCCGGCTCTGTCCTTGCAGCTCCGTGAAGAATGGTCTCTGCGGACCTGAAAGTGCTGACACCCCAACCACTTAAGAAGAGGAGGCGCAGGACCTTGAAGTAGACATGACGAAAACAAAAGGCATGTGTGGGAGGAGAAAGGGGCGCTGACCTGGCCAGGCTTTTCCTAAAGAGCCTGGTCGGGGAGAGTCAGGACACAGCCATCTGTCTGCGCCGGACCCCGGGGGGTAGGGTGGGGGTAGGGGTAGGGTTCTCTGCCACTAATGAGGAGTATAGGCTTGTGATTTCAGAGCCTCGCTTGTTTTGTTTGTGTCACGGCAGCATTGACAAGCACCTCCCTATTAGGAGGTGAGATCGTGTGGGAGGAAGCATATATATATGTATTTATATATATATGGCACAGATGTAATTATATGTAATAATAAAAGCATAACATGCTAATTAGGCTGGACGGCCGCACAGGGGAACGACCGTCCAGACAACTGTCCGGATGACCTTAGAGACGAGAGAGAGAGATGAGAGCCGGGGCTGCAAGGGCCAAGGCAGCTGTCACAGCTGTGAGGGCTGCCCCCCCTTGCACGCATTTCATGTATCAGGCCTCTAGTTATATATAATATAGATGTAATAATATACATAGTGCAGATATAATTGTGTATATACTTATAGTGCAGATGTAATATATAGTATAGATTTAGTGTATATATTGCAGATGTAATATTATATATAGTACAGCTGTAATACAAAAACGGCAAAAGTAGGTTTACAGTTCATATGCTTATGGCTATTATAAAAGCTTTATTCAAAAGAATGTCACAGTGGCACAGTGCACTTAGGTACAGTCTCGTTAAGTGTTCAAATTGCTGGCCTTCATTATTTACACATTCTTGCAGTCTACTTGCTTAACTCAAGCACACTTTGGCACAGAGTTCTTGCCTGCCATCAATAAACCCACCGTTGCCCACTGCTGTATGTGTAGTGAAGATGTAATATTATATATAATGCAGATATAATATATATAGTGCAGATGTAGTAATATAGAGTGCAAATGTAATATATGTTGCACAGAAGTAATACATGTAGTGTGGATGTAATATTATATATATACTAGAGGCCCAGTGCACAAAATTCGTGCACGAGGAGGGGGGTTACCCTCAGCCTGACCTGCACCCTCTCACAATCCAGGGCTGCTGGCTCTTAACTGCTCGCCTGCCTGCCTGATTGCTCCTAACCACTCTGCCTGCTTGCCTGATTGCTCCTACCCTCTCTGCCTGCTTGCCTGATCGCCCCTAACCACTCGCCTGCCTGCCTGATTGTCTCTAACTGCCTCTGCCTAGGCCCCTGCAGCCACAGCAAGCCAGAAGGATGTCCAGAACGACATCCAGAAGGTCGTTCAGCTGTCTGGTCTAATTAGCACATTATACTTTTATTGTAATAGATAGTGCAGCTGTAGTAATAATGATTTGTTATCATGTTGTAACCATTTCACTGCCTGAACCACTCAGGGAGCACCATGTGATGATAAAGCACCTTCCTGCTTTCACTCACAGCTGCCCTTTCCATGTGGATAACGTTTTGGCGAGACGATAACTTTCACAGTTGTTCTCAAAACGAATCATCTTCAGAATCTCATTGTGGCCCCTGTATTATCCCGGGGACTGCCATAGCAAAGCACCCAGATGGCATGGCTGAAACCACAGGAACATACTGCCCGCCCCCCGGCGCTAGAGGCCAGAAGTCCAAAACCAAGTCCTGGAGGCCGTGACCAAGAATCTCCTCCATGCTGCCCGTGGCTGCCAGAGGCTGCCTGTGCTCCTTGGCCTGCACCCTGTCACTGCAGTCTCTGCCTCTGTCTTCATGTGGCTTTCTACTCCGGGCATGTCTGTGTCCGCTCCTCTTCTTGGAAGGACACCAGCCATTGGGCTTCGGGCCGTCCCTCAGTCCAGGATGGTCTCATCTTGAGATCCTCAACTGATTTCACCTGCAAAGACCCTATTTCCAAACAAGGTCACATTCTGAAATTCTGGACATGAACTTGGAGGGAACATTTTTCAGCCCACTGCAGTCATTAAAATATCCCCACCCTATCCAGGGGACACCCCCTACATTTTTGTCCAATTTTAAGCTTCTCCCCACCCCCAGGTTTCATTCTGGCCACTGGAACGGCGGGGGGCAAGGGAAGCTGATGAGCTGACTTCCATTTCCCAGGTGATAGTCTCCTCACTGCCCCCCGCACTCCCCCCGCCCCCCGGCTCCACTGGGTGATTTCCTTGTAAGCTGGTGAGACTCCCGCTGCCGCTTCTCCTTGAGGGAGGGGTGCTGGCGGGGGCTCTATGAACTAGCCTTCCTTTGATGTTGGTGGTTATGGGTTGAATTGTGTTCCCCGGCTATGGTCTGAATGTTTGTTTTCCCCCATGAATACGATGAAACCTATGCCCCCACAATGTGATAGTATTAGGAGTGTGTGTGTGGGGCGCCTTGGAGAGGTGTTTAGGTCATGAGGGTGGAGCCCTTCTGAGTGGGATTAGTGCTCTAATAACAGAGGCCCCAGGAGCTCCCTCGCCCCTCCCACCCTGCGAGGACGCCACGGGGAGACAGCATCTCTGAACCAGAGGCCGGGACTCCGGGTCAGCTGGCGATTTGATCTTGGACTTCTCAGCCTCCAGCACTGTGAGAAAGACCTACCTGCTGTTCCTAAATGATCCAGCTTATGGTATTTGTTCTAGCAGCCCAAATGGACTAAGACATCCCCCCAAATTCAGCTACCCAGGACTCCAGAATGTGGCGTAATTTGTAAATAAGGTTATTGCAGATAGGATGGGTCTTCATCCAATATGGCTGGTGTCCTTATAAAAGGGGAATCTGGGCACAGGCTCACACACAGGGAGAACGCCATGTGAAGATAAAGGCAGGAGCCAGGTGATGCTTCCATAAGCCAAGGAACTCCAAAGATTGCCAGCAAGTCACCAGAGGCTCGGCCTCGGGAGAAACCACCTGGCCAACACCTTGATCTGAGACTTTTCGTCTCCAGAACTGTCAGAGAGTAAATGTCTGTGGTTTCAGCCACCCAGTCTACAGCACAGACATACCTCATTTTATACTGCATTTTTTTTTTTACAAATTAAAGGTTTGCTTTGAGCAAACCTATCAGCACCATTTTCCAAACAAACTTAGATGAGGGTTAGCATTTTTTGGGGGGGAGAATAAAGTATTTTTAATATTTTAAAAATCTTCAATGGAGGATATTTTTCCCATTGAATTTTTTAGAGCAAGTGAAGAGGATGGGGGGGGGCATGGAGAAACATTGATGTGAGAGAGACACATCTATTGGTTGTCTCCTGCAGGTGCCCCAACTGGTCGGGGAATGGAGCCTACAACCGAGCCACATGCCCTTGATTGGGAATTGAACCTGCGACCCTTCGGTCTGAGGGCTGACACACTAACCAGTGAGCCAAGCTGGCCAGGGCAGGAATAAAGTATTTTTAAATTAAGGTATGTGCATTGTATTTTTTTTTTTTTTTTAGAAACAAAGCCACCTAGTCCTGGACTGTGGACCATTCGTCCAGATGGAGAAGTCATTCTGAGGATGTCAAAACATGGGCCAGGCCATGAGGCCCCCGTAACCATCCCAGAATATTTTCGGGAGTCAGTCAACCGATTTGGGACTTATTCAGCCCTTGCATCAAAGAAATGTGGAAAATGGGAAGTACTAACTTACAACCACTACTTCGAGGCTTGTCGGAAGGCTGCGAAAGCCTTGCTCAAGGTGAATGAGTTCCTTCCTTCCTTCCTTCCTTCCTTCCTTCCTTCCTTCCTCCCTCCCTCCCTCCCTCCCTCCCTTACTTCCTCCCTCCCTTCCTTCCTTCCTTCCTTCCTTCCTTCCATATTACTTATTCAATCATTCATTGAGAATAGGAAATACATATACATACATATGGTATAAAATGCACAAGGCACCACAAGATATGAAGGGTAAGTGGTGAAAATTTTCCCTCCAATTCTTTTTCCTTTAAATATATTTTTATTGATTTCAGAGATGAAGGGAGAGAGATAGAAACATCAATGATGAGAAAAAATCAGTGATCAGCTGCCTCCTGCATGCCACATACTGGAGGGCCTGAAACTCGCACAATGTGCCCTGACCAGGAATCGAACCGTGACTTCCTGGTTCATAGTCAATGCTCAACCACTGAGCCACACTGGCCAGGCCTTCCAGTTCTTGACCCCCTTCCCTATGCAGGCAGCCACCATTACCACATTCTTTTCAACAACTGCAGTTATGTTTGACTTAACCATCCTCCTACCGGTGGGCATTTAAGTTGTTTCCAGCCGTTTGCTACCATATATGGTGCCACAGTGAACTTCTTTTGTACAATGAAATCTTATTCAGAGGTGCCTCTGTATGCCCCCTCAAATGTACGAAAGAATCTGCTTGTCTATATTCTTGCCAACATCATATCAAAAACGTTCATGTTGGCCAGTTGAATAGGCATGTGAGACAGAACTCTAAGACAACCCTGAGAGTCCAGCCTCTGGTATATTCATGCTTTTAGTCTCATATTCTTGAACATGGGCAGGACTTGTGACAATGAAGGATTTTCCCTTCTGTGGTGGCAAAGGTGAAGGTATTTAGCAGGTGTCATTAAGGTCTCTAATCAGTTGACTTTGAGTTCATCAAAAGGACAAATGCTCAGGGTGGGCCTGACCTAATTGGTTGACGCACTAAAGGAGAGATTCTTCTGCCAGCCTTGCGGAAGCAAACTGCCATGTAGGGGACTGGGCCATGGGCAGGGGATGGCAGACAGCCGCTAGGAGTTGAGATCTACCCCCAACTGAGAGTTACCAAGAAAACAGGGCCTCATTCATTCAACCACAGGAAATAAATTCTGCAATCTATGAGTGCAGGAGAAGATTTCATGCTTCAGAGGAGGCCACAGCCCCACTGAGGCCTTCATTGCAGCACTGGGAGATCCTAAGCAGAGGACCCAGTTAGACTTCCCCCAGCCTCCTGGCCTGTGGGAACTGAGATAATAAATGTGTGCTGTGTTTGTGGTAACGTGTTATGCAGCCGTAGACAATCCTATATAATAAAAGCCTAATGTGCAAATTGACTGAATGGTGGAACAACCAGTCACTATGACGCACACTGACCACCAGGGGGCAGACACTCAATGCAGGAGCTGCCCCCTAGTGGTCAGTGCGCTCCTGCAGTGGGAACACTACTCAGCTGACCGACGGGTGCCACACACCGGGCTCACAAGCCTCTCCCGCAGACACTCTCACTGTGAGCCCCTCCCTCATCCAGTCAGGAGCTGCCCCCTAGTGGTCAGTGCGCTCCCGCAGTGGGAGCACCACTCAGCTGACAGACGGGTGCCACACACCAGGCTCACGAGCCTCTCCCGCAGACACTCCCCCTGTGAGCCCCTCCCCCATCCAAAGCAGGCGCAGTGGGGCCAGGATGAAGAGTGCAGCGCAATGCCCGGCACCCAGCCTGGGCTCGGGCTCCTCCCTGGTCATCTGCTGTGGCCCAATCACCGCAGGCCATGCCGAGGGACCCCGCTGGTGCACGAATCCATGCACCAGGCCTCTAGTGAATATATAAAAACCAGCAAACAGAAAAGGCGACAATGAATACCTTAGGTGTCTCCCGTTGTAGAAGGGTATCTGCTAGTGGTTTTGATACACAGGAAATTGGGTCACATTTTGACCTACATCCCAATTCTTCTCTCCCCTCCCCGATGCTCATGTGTCTTCACTGAGAGACTGTGATATGTCACAATTAAGAACCATGTGCTTGGGCTGGCTTTTGTCTTGGCTGCCCGCCCAGGGCCATAGTGCTGTGGTTAGTTTCCCTCTCCTGAAAGTCGATCCTTGTTAGCTATCCTCTTAGTTGTGGAGCTCAAGGACCCTCTACTCTCCTACCCTCAGGACCCAATCGGAAATATGTCAGTTTATGTGCACATGAGTAGAGGCAGCTTCCAGTAGGACAGCCTTTTGTCACCAAGAGAAACACCTGGCCTTGTGTTCTGAGCACCAGCGATGCTTTCCAAATGCCTGTTTCCCGAAGAGCAGGGTAACCGCCAGCCTGTCCTCGTAGGACGACAGGGCCAACAAAGTTGGAGCTGCCCCAAACCAAAGGGCTGGCTTCAAGTCCAGGTCCCCAGCTCATCCTCAGCCACATCCAGACCAAGGCTACATCTTTAAAAGTGCAACTTGTCACCACTCTAGGACATCACTCTCTGAGTACTTTTGTTATTAAAAATGAAAATAAATTCACACCCATTAGAGTGTCTATTACTTTTAAAAAGAACAGAAGAATAGCAGGTGGTGTGAGGATGTGGAGAAATTGGAACTGTCATGCACTGCTGGTGGGAATGTAGAATGGAGCAGCCACGGTGGAAAACAGGATGGCAATTCATAACAAAAGTAAACACTGAAATACCATATGACCCAGCAATTCCACTTCTGGGCATGTACTCAAAAGAATTCAAAGCAAAGACTCAGACACATATGTGCACACTCACACAGCAGCCATTCACAATGGCCAAAAAGTGTCTGTCAACAGATAATGGATAAACACAATGTGGTCCATCACACAATGGAATATTATTCAGCCTTAAAAGGGAAGGAATATATATATATCTCCATATCTAAATAGATATATATTGATTTCAGAGAGGAAGGGAGAGGGAGAGATAGAAAGATCCATGACGAGAGCGAATCATTGATTGGCTGCTTCCTGCACAACCCCTACTGGGGATCGAGTCCACAACCCTGGCATGTGCCCTGGACCGGAACCAAACCCAGGATCCTTCAGGCCACAGGCCATCGCTCTAGCCATTGAGCCAAACCGGCTAGGGCAGGAAGGAAGTTCTGACATCTGCTACAACATGGATGAACCTTGAGGACATTATGCTCGGTGAAGTAAGCCAGTCACAGAAGGACAAATACTATGTGATTCCACTTATATGAGGTCCCTAGAGGAGTCAAGTTCACAGAGACAGGAAGTAGATGGTAGGAGCCAGGGACTGGGGGAGGGGCACGGGGAGTTAGTATGTAATGGGCACAGAGTTCTAGTTTGGGAAGATGAAAAAATTCTGGAGAGGGATGGTGGGGGTGGTCATACAAGATGAGTGTCCTTAATGCTCCCGAGCTGTGCACTTAAAATTGGCCCAAGTGGTACATTCGTGTGTAAATAGTTTACCACAACAAAAGTAAAACCCGTAAAATAAACCAATGGGGTATTAACCCGAGGGAGGCCAAGCAGGTGCCCAATCGTCACAAAAGCCTCACACCCAGATTTTAGCCTCAGCGCCGGCTTATCCCCCTGCAGTGAGCACATCCCACCAGAAGCAAAACCATTCCATGTTTCCGTTTCCTGTTTCTGTTTGTTTTTACCTCCCCAGCTGGGCTTGGAGCGGTTCCATGGAGTCGGCATCCTGGGGTTTAACTCCGTTGAGTGGGTTATTGCTTCCGTTGGTACCATCCTAGCAGGGTAAGACCATGCGTTGTTCATTGTTAATGCTGATGAGCCTACTCAGGGCCTCCCCGAGATGTGAACAGGGAGTTCAGCCTCAGCCCCACGTGAGCAGGCGAGACAGACACACAAACCAATTACCTGACAAATGATTAGTATCTTGAATATAGAAGGACTAGTATCTTGAATATAGAAGGTACTTCTAGAACTCAGTAGTAAAAAGACAAAAAGATTTTAAGTGAACAAAAGACTTGAACAAGAGATGTTACAAAGCGAAGTAGGTGGTAAGTAGTTTAAAGATGTTTGATGTCATCAGCCATCAGGGAGATGCCAATGAGACCCAGGACAGGGTGGTTAAAAGCAAGAACATCCTGGCCATGAGCCAAAGTGTCTCGGGTTCGATTTCCAGTCAAGGTCACGTACCTGGGTTGCAGATCTGATCCCCAGGCCGGTCAGGGCGCATGCGGGAGGCAACCGATCGATATATTTCTCTCTCACATCTCTCTCTCTCTCTCTCTCTCTCCCTCTCTCTCCATCTGTCTCTCTCCCTCTCCCTCCCTCCCTTCCACTCTCTCTGAAAAGCAATGGGAAAAATATCCTTTGGTGAGAATTAACAAAAACAAGAGCAAAAGGCTGCCCCTGGAGGGAACGTGCCTGAGGGTGGGGGGCGGTCCAAATCCCATCTCTGGCATTTATTATGCGCCATGACACTTGGAACAGTGACGTCACTGCCCTGACTCAGTTTGCTCAACTGTGAAATGGGCTGTTGTGGGGGTTCCATGAGCCTACATCATAATGACATCACAGGAGTTGCTGCTTTCATCATCCTTATCTCTTGTTGTTTTTGCCCTTGTTGAGCTGTGGAGGGAGGGAAGCTTTGCCAAGGCTGCAAACTCAGAACTTGCCTGCAGGCCCTCCCCCTAGCCCCCCGCCACCCAGGACATCCTTCCCCACCCCAGGCTCACACGCACATGACAGGCATGTGTGTTTTCTTTTCCCAGGGGTCTCTGTGTTGGTATTTATGCCACCAACTCTGCAGATGCTTGTCAGTACGTCATTGCTCAAGCCAAAGTGAATGTCCTGATGGTTGAAAATGACCTACAGCTGCAGAAAATCCTTTCGGTAAACTTCTACCCAGCCCTCCCTGCCAGTCATCTGAGGCGGGGGGAACCTCAGAGGTCTGACCAGGTGTCTTTGTGCTTCTAGATAGATGCTAATGATCAGGTGGGGTGGTAAGGTTTGCTGCACACACAGGTTCTTTTTTTAAAAAGAAAAATATTTTTATTGATTT